TAATATTCTATTGTGTGAACTCACAGCAATTTCCTTATCTATTCCACTATTGGTGTATATTTGAATGTTTCAGGTTTTTTTTTTTTCTTTTTGGAGTTGTAAGCAATGCTACCTTGAGCATTCTTTATAACATGTCTCCTATTATACCTGCAAGGGGGGCATATACATTCTCTAGGGCATACACCAAGGGATGGAATGCTGGGTTGCCTGGTCCCACACTTCCAAATTAAATTGGAAACGTCAAAAAATTAAAAAAAAAATAAATTGGAAACGTCAGTGTTACCAAAATATTTGTATCAATTTACACCACCCTCACCAACTTCCTTGTTCCACATCCTTGACAACATTTGGTACCATCTGGCCTTCTAATTTGCCAATCCAGTGAGTGTGATGACATATTTCATTGTAGTTTTTATTTGCTTTCCATGATTACAATACAGTGGAGTGTCTTTTCATAGCTTTATGAACTATTTGTGTTTTCTGTAAAAACACTGGTTCATGTCTTTTGCTCACTTGTCTATTGAGTTGTCTTTTACTGATTTATAGGGATTCTTTAATTACATAGTTGTATGAGTTTAATATGTCTTTTCAGTTTGAGGTTTCCCTGGTAGCTCAGTTGATAAAGAATCCACCTACAACGCAGGAGACTTGGGTTCGATCCCTGGGTTGGGAAGATCCGCTAGAGACGGGAAAGGCTACCCACGCCAGTATTCTGGCCTGAAGAATTCCATGGACTATACAGTCCATGGGGTTGCAGAGTTGGACACGACTGAGCAACTTTCACTTTTCTCAGTCTGTAGCTTATCTTTGTACTTTCTTGATTATATTTTGTTCAACAGAGACTTTTAATTAATGACATTAATACTTTGTACTTTCTGCATCTTAAATCTTTCCCAGTGTGGAGATCATAAAGTCTCCTATATTGTCTTCTAAACAATTTTTGGTTTTGCCTTCCACATTTAATTTTTTTTAATTTGAATTTTTTGTTTGGTTGGTTGGTTTAAGGTAGGGATCCAATTTGATTATATTTTCAATATGGATAATCAATTATTCTTGTGTCATATATTAAATAGTCCCCTCTTTCCCTACTCTGACATGCATCAAGTTTCCATGTTTGTGTCATCTGTTTCTAGGTTCTTTATTCTGTGAAGTTTGCTGTTTATTCTTGGAACAGAACCTCCCTCAGTGTCTAAATGACAACAGCTTTACTAGAAGTCTGAATGTTGGATGATAAAAGCCCCACTCACACTCTATCTTGTTCTTGAGGAATATTTTGGTTATGTAGGGACTTTTGTTGTTTCATATACATTTTCTTTACTATTTTTATTATAGTAAAATATATAAAAAGTTTAATTGGTCATTTTAACCAAGTTAGTGTACAGTTGGTGGCATTATATTGAGTGTTGTCCAGTGTTACCACTGTCTGCTTCCTAGATGGTGCCGGTGCTAACGAACCTGCCCACCAATGCTTGAGATGTAAGAGAAACGGGTTCAGTCTCTAGGCGGGGAAGATTCCCTGGAGAAGGGCGTGGCAACTGACTCTAGTATTCTTGCCTGGAAAATCCCATGGACAAAGGAGCCTGGCTGGCTACAGTCCACAGGGTCTCACAGAGTTGGCCTGACTGAAGCGACTTAGCACACACTGCTGTCTAGTTCCAAAACTCTACCCCAAACAGAAATTCTGCCTCCCTCCCTTCTTACCCCAGGCCCTGCTAACTTCTAATCATTCTATCTTTATACATTTGCCTTTTTCTAGATATTTCATGTAAATGAGATCTTAATAATGTTTATATTTGTGAGTCTGGCTTCTTTTGTTTAGCATATTACATTCATGGTTTGCCTACATTGCAGTATGTGTTGGAACTTCATTCCTTTTATGGAGAATAGGATTACATTGTATGCATATGCCACATTTTGTTTATCCACTCATCTGTTGTTGGGACACTTGGGTTGTTGCTCCCTTTTGTGTATTCTAAGTAGTTCTGATATGAAGATTGGCATTACAAGTATCTGAGCCCCTATTTTCAATTCTTTTGGGTACGTAGGAGTGGAATTCCTGGGTCATGTGGTTATTCTACATTTAACTTTTAGAAGAACTGCCAACTTGCTTTCCACCGTACTTCTTCATTTGTATAAACTTTAGAATCAGATTGTCAAATAAATTACTCTGTAAGCTTTTATGTTACTCTACTCAATCTTTAGATCATTTGAGAGTGATAGACATGTTATAAAATTGAGGCTTCAGGTCCAAGTATCTAGTATATCTCTATTCAAGGCTTTTTGATGTCTTTCAATAAAATTTTGTAGTATCTTCATCAATATCTTATATATCTTTTGTTGGGTTTACGCTTGGCTTCTTTGTATTTTTGGTTGTTAGTTTCTTTAAAACTAAATTTCTTGATTATCACTGGTATTTTGAAATACAGTTAACTTGAATATTTTTTACTTGGCAGACTTTCTAAACATACATTCATTCTCAAAATCCATCTGTTAATTATCTTTATTTTCTTTTTTTTAAATCTTTATTTTCTATATGGAATCTACACATGATGACAGTTTTGTTTCCTCCATCCTAATCTTTATTCCTAATTTTTTTTTTACTATACTGGTGGATATAAAGTACAGTGTAAAACAAAAGCTATTTTTTCCTTGCTCCTAATCTCAGAGGGATTGTTTTAAACTGTTAACCATTAAGTTTGATGATTGCTTAGGGTTTTGTTTGTTTGTTTTTAGGTGTCCTTTTTCAAATTAATGGCCCTTTTCAAATGGACAAGGTGCCTTTCTACCCAATTTTCAATTTGTGAATGTGGAGTTTTCAAGAGTGATTTTTGCATTATACTGAGATACTTATGTTTTTTCTTCTTTACTCTCCAAATGTGATGACTTATAAAAAATAGTAATATTTGTAATATTAAATCAATGTTCCATTCCTTGGATTAAGTACAAGTTAGTATAATACGTTACCTTTTATATACATCAACCGGATCCTATTTACTCATTACTTTTTAAAGCAATTTTACATCTATGTTCAAAAGTGGTTTGGCTAGTATTCCTTCTTTTATATTCTGGAGTAGATTTTTTGGAAGATTTAATTACTTGTTCTGTGAGTGTTTGGAAGAATTCACCTGTAAAGCCATCTGGGTTTGGTACTTTGTGGGGGAGATTATTCATATTTTCCTTTTTTTTTTTTTTTGAGTCAAGTTTCCTCACTCTCATTCTCTCTCTTCCTCCATGTCTCTTATCTTCTTTTTTATATAGTCTATCTCTCTGGGCTATGTTTCTGGATTAATAAGTTCACTAATTCTCTCTCTTTTTTTAGGGTAACTTTGACAAAAGCAGTTTTAGTGGAATGAGTCTGAATTGATTAATCTGGGTTGATGCTGTAACGAGCAATGAAGCAATGGAGAGTTCCACTATAACTCAGTATGGAACCTTTGTTATGAAGGGAGCCGAGAAATAAGAGAAGGAGTTGTGGAAGAGTTTTGTTTTAAGATGAGCAATATTAAGGCATGTTTGAGTATCGATAGGGGTGATCTACCACAGAAGCAAAATTTGATGATGAGAAGGGATGATAAAAAGAAGGGATAATTTAGGAGTGTAATCACTGAGAAAATAAGGAACTAGGGCCAAATTGTTCAGTTCTGTGCTCCATTTGGTTTTTTGCAACACCACTTTTAAAGATTAGTTAAACGGACTTCTCTTTTTAACCGTGAGATGAGCATACAGTCAGTTTAGTAAGTATTATTCATGTATCCATTCTCTTAAGCCACGAATATTCTATTTGTCTTGTATGTCCAGTCACTGTGGTAGACTCTGGGAGCAACAAAATGAACATGACCTGTGCACTCATGAACCTTTGTATCATGGCAGTGGTGGTGCTGTGTGGATATGATGCAGAGGACTTGGAAGGGAAGGTATAGGATTTAGGAGAGCATTTAGCAGGGACCTTAATCTCTTAACTTTATTCTAGAAGATTAAAGAAGCAACAAATGATTCCCAAAGAAAGAGTCATTAGCCAAACAAATTCTGGGAGAGCACTGCAAGAAGAGAGAAGAGCATAGGTGAAGGTCCAGTAGAAAGCTTGCATGGGTTTAGGAACGGAAGGAAAACTGGAACTAATGACTAAAGGCAAGAATTTTGGAGGGATAGCAGGTGCTACACAGCATAGAATCGTAAGCATTTTAGACCCTCCTGAGAGCATCGGGGAAGCACCGAAGGGTCTTAAGCAGAAAAGTGACAGAAGCCACTTTCATACTATTTCTGTTGTAAAGGTGTACTCATGTGGCTACTAGCGCTGGATGCCATTAAACTTTAGAGTCATGCAGTTAACTCCCTTTCTTAACAATTATTTACTTGTCCATCAGTCAGACATGGTTTCCTCAGTCAGACAGAGTGGAAGTTTCCTTGGAAATTTTATTATAATGTTTTTCTGCTCTGAGTGTGTGTGTATGAGAGTAGGGCCTGGGGAGAGATACAGACAGAAACAGAGATGGAGTTAGAGACATAGAACTAGTAGGATACTATTTTAAAATTTTAACTAATAGAGCAATGAGAATATTAACTAATTCTACTTAGCATGTTAATAATTTATACATCATACAGAAATTCTTAAATTTTTAGACATTTAATTCTTAGATACTCTTAAACATCTTTTGCAACTAGCTATTTTTGAGGTATTTTATAACTTTTTTTTTCATTTATTTTTATTAGTTGGAGACTAATTACTTTACAATATTGTAGTGGTTTTTGCCATACATTGACATGAATCAGCCATGGATTTACATGTATTCCCCATCCCGATCCCCCCTCCCGCCTCCCTCTCCATCCCATCCCTCTGGGTCTTCCCAGCACACCAGGCCCGAGCACTTGTCTCATGCATCCAGCATGGGCTGGTGATCTGTTTCACCCTTGGTAGTATACTTGTTTCAATGCTATTCTCTCAGAACATTCCACCCTCGCCTTCTCCCACAGAGTCCAAAAGTCTGTTCTGTACATCTGTGTCTCTTTTTCTGATTTGCATATAGGGTTATCGTTACCATCTTTTATTTTATAACTTTTAAGTAATCCTGACAGAGTTGTGTAAGGGTTTGTTTTAATCCCTAGGTTTTTAACCTTAACATAAAGAAAATTGTTATTTTATTCTTATTTCTCTTTTTATCATAAATATCAGAATGTACTATATATGTTTTCAGCTTCTTTAGAGATTATTCATATTCGGAGTTGGCATTTTGACTAGCTTAATTTATCTTGATCCTTAGATTCTATATTTAATCAACATCTAACACTATGCCTTGCACATAGTAGGCACTCAAAAAACATGTCCAGTGAATCAAGGTATATGATATGGTGCTCTTAATTATATTTCATAAGTTTCCTTTCTTAACTCCTCCCTTTTACCTCAAATATATTGCCCTTTTTCGATATTCCTTTTCTTTCTGGCTTCATAGTCTTCAGTATTCTGTTCCAATGTAATTGCTTTGCTGTTTTCTCTTTCTTGAACTTCTTGGAAAGTTTAATGGCCCTCAGTCTTTTTCTGAGACTCATATACTTGCTATTTTGTATTTGCCTACTTTCTCTTAGAAAATATCTCTCTTCCCCTTCTCTTTTGATCTATCTTAATTTCTATTGAAAAAACCGTCTTTGAGGCTGTTTATTGTTTTTGTCTTTTTCACTATTTTCATTGTGGTTTTCCCATCCTGAGCAACTATTTAGTTGTTACTTTGTAAATAATAAACATAATTTTATGTATTCTGTGTTTTTAGTCTATTGAAGACAATGAAGTATATTTGCCTAATGATGAGATTTGGACCTATGATATTGATAGTGGGTTGTGGTAAGTAATTTTACATTGCTTAATGTCCAATCTTAATATCTGTTACAACTGTTATCATAGACAACAGGAGATCTGAGACCGTGCTCAGAACATACTGCAATATTATGTTGTCTCCCTTTCCTTTTCCTTCAGTGCTTTATTCCCTCTGGATGTTTCTCTCCCCAGATCCCTTCCTCCCTTCATTTGTTGTCCTTTACTGTTCCTATCTGAAGACTTTGTTTTGTTCTACTATTTCCCAATTCTGGTGACATGAGAAGATTTTGTAACTTTTTTCCTCAGTAGGTTGCAAAGTCTTTACCATGGATCTTCTTATAGTTTTCAGAGTATTGGCTACCATGATATCTTAATTGGAATTGTCAGTGACAATTTTCATTGAAAAAGTACTGATGGAGTTCAAAAGGAATTTTAATTTGCCTTTCTGGAAAGTTACGGCTTCCCACGTTGTTCTTGCTGCAGGACAATGCACCTCATGGAAGGAGAACTGCCTACCTCCATGTCAGGAAGCTGCGGTGCTTGCATTAATGGAAAGCTGTACGTTTTTGGAGGATATGATGACAAAGGATACAGCAATCGAGTAATTTTTTTCTTTTCAATTCAGGAGTGCAGAAAAATGTAATGTTTAATGTGTCACTTCATCTCACAAGTATTTTGCAAAGAAGACATATGTAGAAAAGCTTGAGCTAACTGATAAGGTTTTAAAAGGTAGAGTGAAAATGCAGCATACCAGCTCCTCTCTGGTCCCAGATCCTTCTGCTTCAGAATTAACTGCTTACTTGGTTGATATCCATAGGGCAAGAACAAGATCGGTAAAGATTCGTTTCAGTATGTTTCATATATCATTTTTGCTTCTAAAATATAGTCCCATTTTCATCAACTCTACAATTAAAATTTTTACCTTTTAAAAATAAAAAGTAATGTTATTAATTTTGGATCACCTGTCCCTGTGACATATATTTAATTTTCCGATGCCCTGTCTGTTAATAGTATTCTCCTCTTTTAAAAGCTTTATTTTGTTAATTTGCGAACAAGAGATGGAACCTACGTTTGGGAAAAAATCACCAACTTTGAAGGGCAACCACCCACACCACGTGATAAACTTTCCTGCTGGGTTTATAAAGACAGGTAATGCAGCAAAACCACCTGATTAACTGCATTCAAGTAAGGATTATAGCTTGTGTTCAAAACAGAGAAAACTTGAAACTGAATTTTTTTCAAGATATAATTACAAACTGTTTTGACACTGATGGTAAAGGCAGTTTTGAATCCTAGATAAGAGCCAAGTCATAAGAATAAATATGGTGGAAGCAACTATTTGTTTTTTTTAATTAATTAATTAATTAATTTTCTGAATACTTAATATAGTCACATGGTTTAAAAATCAAAACCATATTAAAAAGTCTAGCTCCCATTGTTGTGCCCATCCATCCTGTTCCTACCCCTCCAGATGCACAAATAGGTACTTTTATCAACATCTTTTGTATTTTTATAGCAGTGGTTCTCAAACTTGTCTGCCATAGGAATGATATAGGGATTTTTTTTTTAATGCTCTGAAGCCCAGGTGATACCCCGCTGCTGCTGCTGCTAAGTCGCTTCAGTCGTGTTCAACTCTGTGCGACCCCGCAGATGGCACCCCACCAGGCTCCCCCGTCCCTGGCATTCTCCAGGCAAGAGTACGGGAGTGGGGTGCCATTGCCTTCTCCGAGGTGATACCCTAGACTAACTAAGTTACAATCCATGGGAGTATGATTTTTTTTAATCTCCTCAAGTAATTCCAAGATGCAGACACATTTGGGAACAGTTGCACTCTTGTTACTTTAAGCAGATAGAAGCAAATACATATCTCTCTGTATATTTATCTGTATCTTTTCTGCCTCTTTACACAAACATCTGTGTTCTCTGTACACTATTCTGCATCCTACTGCTTCNATTCCCACCAACAGTGTAAGAGGGTTCCCTTTTCTCCACACCCTCTCCAGCATTTATTGCTTGTAGACTTTTGGATAGCAGCCATCCTGACTGGCGTGTAATGGTACCTCATTGAGGTTTTGATTTGCATTTCTCTGATAATGAGTGATGTTGAGCATCCTACTGCTTCTTTTAGTCTACACTGTACCATGAAGAACTTTCATTTTTCTGTATCTCTAGTTGGAAAGCTTGTTTTTTTGCTTTTGTTCTATTTTTACAGCTGCATAGTATTCTTCCATGAGGATATACTAGAGTTTATTTAACTTTTTCCCGATAAATGAAGCAACACTTAGATTATTTCAATTCCTATGCCATTACAAACTATGCTTTAATGAATATCTTTGTGTTTATATACATATAATTGCAGATCTATTTGTTGGATAAAATTCCACAATTTGATTTCTGGATCAAAGGATAATACATTTATAATTGTGGTAAATGTTTATTTTGCTAGGGCTGATGTAATAGAGTTCTATAAACTGAATGATTTAAACAACAGAAATGTACCTCCATGGTTGTCAGTGGTTAAGACTCTGCCCTTCCACTGCAAGGGGCACAGGTGTGCATCCTGGTCAGGGAAGTAGGATCCTGCATGCCATGGGGTGTGTCAAAAAATGTATTGTCTCATAATTTTGGAGGCTAGAAGTCTGAGATCAAATTGTCAGCAAGGTTGGTTCTTTCTCTGGGTTTTCAGGAAGAATCTACTTCATGCCTCTCCCCAGCTTCTGGTGACTTGTTGGTAATCTGGTGTGTAGAAGCATCACTCAGATCTCTGCCTCCATAGTCACGTAGCATTCTCTCTGTACTTGCTTGTCTTCCTCTAAATTTCCCCCTTTTGTAAGAATACCAGTTATATTGAATTAGTGCCTACCCTAATCACTTCATCTTAACTTGATTGCCTCTATAATAAGGGTCCCCATGTCTCTGCCAAAATTATCTCATTCTTCCTGAACTTTGTCCACCTTTTACAAACTGGTCTGTTACTATTTCTGTTAGAATTATTTTAAAGGCCAGGTCTGCTAATTCCAATATCTAAAGTCAGCTTATATTGACTCTTTCCTCTCTTGATCGTGGGTCACTTTTTCTTTTTGCCTTTTCATATACCTTCTAATTTTACATCATATGGCAGACATTCTGTTTGAAAGAACAGTAAAGGCTGTAGTAAACAACCATCCCTCCAGAAAAGGACATGCCCTTTCTTTCTTTTTCAGGCTGCTGGAGTGGACTTTAAGTCAGTCTAACCTGAAGTTGGCCTGTGCTTAGGTTTTGTTGCAGCTTTGGTTTCATTCAGTTTTAGCACTGGCTTCAAATGTTCTGATGCAGGATCAAGACTTTTCTTTGCTAGGGCCTCACATTTTGAGCACTAGAAATTGTGAAGAGATTTTAAGCTGAACTTCACAGCCATGTACCTACTTCTCAGAAGTGTGAGAGATCCCTTCTTGTTTCATAGCCTAATTGGCAGGTATTTAGGTTGCTAGGGAGTTCTCTTTGCTCCCCAATCCCACTTTATACTTTTTGTTCCTTGAGTGACCTCTTTAAGCATTGCATGTCCTCCCTGGCCTTTTGCGGGCAGCACTCCAAGGTGTTTGCTTCAGATTTCTTGTCCTAATCCCAAACTTTAGAGCTGATAGTTCAGATTGCCTCAAGAAGAGTTGCTGTGCTCTCTCTGCAGCTTCATACTCTTGGTGACTGACCCGAAGTCCTCTCTGAAGATTATGTGAATACTTTTTGAATAGATTCAAACTCCCTAGGTGACTGGGTCTCTTAAGATTCTAATTTGCTGTGCTAGCCTACACGTGACTATTGATATTTTGGCTGGCTTCTTTTACAAACCCTGTGTGTGCCAAGTTCTTCCTCCTCCTGCTGTTGCATCAAGGATGAAGCAACAATGGGTTTCTCTCTCCTCTTGCAGGCTCATCACTTTCTGGAATTAGTTCACTTAGGTCTCTTTGTTCCCATAGTGGTTTGATTTTTTTTTTTAAACTATGGTTTTGTAGTTTATGTGGCTTGTTTAGGTTGTGAGAGAAATGATGTCTTTCAGCTTTCTGTGAACAAGCTGAAAGCAGAACTCCCAAAGTGTGTCCTTTGTTTTGTTTTTCAGATTAATATATTTTGGCGGCTATGGGTGTAGGAGACATAACGAACTCCAAGATTGCTTTGATGTTCATGATGCATCTTGGGTAAGAGAGTAATCCCTGTTTACCCTTTCCTCTAATTTAGTGTCGCCTTAAAGTTTTTAGAAATAATGAGCCCAGTCCTTCCTATTTTAATTTGCTATAATTGATACTATGAAAAAAAGTGTCTTTTCTCTCTTTTGAATTTGGGTTCAGTTGCAAGAGATTCTCTCACCTAATGGTATCAGCCTTCATTGCTACTGGCAGAGTAATTTCTTTTCTGATGTCATAAATCACTTAAAGATGCTTCTATTAGACAAGTAGTGGCTTTAGCACAACTTGAAAACCTTTGTTCATAGGTAACCACAGTGGCCGTTGCTGACATACCCCTCCTTTTAGGTACGTCCGCCAGAACTATTCATAGCTCAGACTGGCTTCTGTATGACAGTGAGTAAGTTGGTAGTGATACTGCTTTTTTCTACTTATTCTTACGGGCTAGAGAATAAACTATTATATTAATGAAAGAAGTCATGACTTACAAAAATGAAATCTTTTAAAAGATAACTTTAAAAACCATTGATCTCACCACCAAGATACACAGTAACCTCACTTTTACCTTCTACTAGCATGTTTTATTATTGTACATTATTAATGTAAAGATATATGTACATTTCCTGTATATCTCTTTGTATGTGGGTATTTAAAATTTCGCCATAGGCTTCACTTAGACTGTGTGTGAAATTAATATATGTTAATAAAATTGAATGGCTTTTAAGTGATAAAAGTGGTTTACATGGTTTTTGAGTTTTTAAAATGAAGTATCTTTTAAGTTTTGCGACTTACAGTATCACTGATAATTTTTAGTAATATAACTTCCCACTAATTATGTCTAATTATTTTTACTAATCAGTGAAAGCTCTCATTTTTTTTTCTCAACTAGTATAGTTAGGCTAATGATAATGTCCTGAAGTTTATGGTGTACAGGTAGATTTTTTCACTTAGATTCTGAACTAGGTAAATTATTTAGTTTATTTGACTTGTCTGACAAGTCCTGATGAAAATGAATGATACAGTCCTGATGTATAACACAAAACTGCTGCAGAGGAAAGCTAGAGTGGTGGTAGAGGTTCTCAACAATGTGGAAGATACTACATACAGTCTAACTGCTAACTCTTTGCCTTGCCAGGTCTTCCTAGAAGACAGAGGAGAGTAAGCATACATTTAATGTATAAGAATAAGCTGCTTAGTTAAGTGATTAGAATTCTTTTACAAAAAGAACCACTGTTCCCTAAAGTTTCTAACAGCAAAGATGAGAAATTTGGCACATGTACTTTAGGAAAACAGATTTTCAAATCTAAATATCATTCTATCCTCTGCAATTTTCAAAGAGAGAATCCTTTGAGAGGATTGGAGGATTATTAACAAGTACAGTGATGAGTCATGCAAGCAATGCTATGAGAAGAACAGTTGCTAGGTGATGCTGCTGTAGCCTAGGCATCACACTTTGTGAGCCACTGGTGTATGCGTTAAGTTTATAATTGTGGTCGCACTTGACTCTATTTCTGTAAAAATGTCTATTATTTCACCAGTAAATATGCAGTGAAACTATCATACAAATCTAAAATCATTAAAAACTTTTAAAATATTTAAAAAATTTATGTTTTAGGAAGAGCAGATATTCTGGGGATGGCATAATGATGTTCACATATTTGACACAAAGACACAGAGTTGGCTTCAACCCGAAATTAAAGTAAGTATTGTGAAAAGTTACCTTTATGTTTTTATATTCATTAATACTTTTAAAGTGAATTTCTTTTACTAAGTTATTGGCTGTTAGTAATTGAGTTTGTAGTTTGTAATCATGTACAAAGGGGTTCTCTTGAGTGCAGTCACTATTATTGTTTTTTTATCACATATTTTTCTCCAGGTTAAGGTTTTCTAGAAAAATCTAGAGAGGTGCCATCATCATTCTTTACCCACAAGTGTAATGCCCTGATTTAATGAAGGTTCTTTTTAAAAGTCCTTTCGTAACAAAGTTCATGATTTTGAAAAGCCCATGTTTCATAAACTCATGAAATCTTAGTACTCTTTCATGTGCTAGTGAGCAAACACAAATTCACATTAGTTTAAGCCGTAAAGAATTCTTGCATAGCTGGGAGGTATATTTTGAAGTGGCTCACACAGTGGAAAGGCTACAGGGTCTTAGGAACTGGAGCAAGTTACCCAACCTCGTCACAGTATTTCCATCTTTCTATTGGCTTCTCCATGCTTCTCTGCATGCTAGCTTATTCTGTCTGCTGCAGACTGGCCAGCTCATTTAGGAGGGAATATGGCCCTGCCTATACCAGCAGTTCTTTCTGTTGGTGCTGTATTTTCTCAATGTCTGTGTCTTCACCCTGGCTCTACTTAGCTGTGTTCCTCCTCTATGTCAATCCCCGTTGCCAAGGGTTTGATTGGCCAGGCCTGAGTCTGAGACCTGTCCCTAGGGGAGCAAGGTATTGTGATTGGTCAGATCTTTGGAACTATGCAGAATAAAATACTGAACAAAATTTTTGTTTGAATTTTTGAACAAAACCAAAAATTTGGCTCAAATTCTATTCTCTGTGATTTTAAGAGAGGAAAGAGGATTTGAGAGGATTGGAGGATTGTCAACAAGTACAGTTATGAGTCATTCAAGCAATGCTATGAGAACAGTTGCTAGGTGATGCTGCTATAGCCTAGGGAAAGACCTAATTTTTGTCCACTAACACTCTCTGTTGGCTCAGCAGTAAAGAATCCACTGACAAAGCAGGAGTTTGACAAGTTTGATCTCTGGTTTGGAAAGATCCCCTGGAGAAGGAAATGGCAACCCACTCCAATATTCTTGCCTGGGGAATCCCATGGACAAAGGAGCCTGGTGGGCTACAGTCATGGAGTCGCAAAAGAATTGGACACAACTTAATGAATAAACCACAACACACATGTATGCCTAAGATTCCTTGCAGTTCAGCTTCTGTAAATGGAAGTGAGGGAGTTCTATGCAAAATAAAAAGTGTTACAAGGCTTGACCCATCTCAGCATCCTCTTTTTCCTAGCAGTGGCTTTCACATTTCCAGTGTTCTTCTGTTCTGTTCTAATTTTGGAACTAATCAACTATCAGTCAGTCATATTTGTTGATGGAAGTCTCCTGCAGTCAGTATTTGAATGTTAAGATTTATGTATTAATGAAATAAAAGCATCTTGTCTCTCTCAAAATAATTTCATATCAGTAAGCAGGTGGAGAGAAATTTTATTGACACTGGATCTACTAAAACTCATCCTAGATCTCTTTCAGGCTTCTTAACCCTTTGCTTCCTTAGAGAATAAGCAAGAATCTGGAGCTACTGCACACATAGTTTTAGAATGTGCTCCTTGGGATCAGTGAGCTGAGGTAGTTTCTAAGGATTTCTTTGGGACTTCAGGTCTTTCCGTGACTGTCTCTCCTTATCGTAGTTTGTATCCCTACCATCCTTCTGTGACAGGGACAGGGACACTTTTTGTTAATGTTTAAAAATATTTTCACTGTGGTCTCTCTGATCATTTCTTCAGATACGTTCTTCGGTTCAGTTCAGTTCAGTCGCTCAGTTATGTCGATCCCATGGACTGCACCACGCCAGACTTCCTTGTCCGTCACCAACTCCCGGAGCTTGCTGAACTCATGTCCATTAAGTTGGTGATGCCATCCAATCATCTCATCCTCTGTCATCCCCTTCTCCTCCTGCCTTCAATCTTTCCCAGCATCAGAGTCTTTTCCAGTGAGTCTGTTCTTTGCATCAGGTGGCCAAAGTATTGGAGTTTCAGCTTCAGCATCAGTCCTTCCAATGAATATTTAGGACTGATTTCCTTTAGGATTGACTGGTTGGATCTCCTTGCGGTCCAAGAGACACTCAAGAGTCTTCTCCAACAAATGTACTCCAACAAAGAACTCTTACTTTGTTTATATTCTATCTGAAAGTTTTTCTGATGTGGTTGCAGCTAGAATCTGTTTTCTTTATTTTCTAGAGCCTTCCTTAAATTAATTCATTGTTCCTAAATATCTACATCAAAGTGCAAGGTAACTTGATACAGTGTAACAGTTACTTGTTTTGAAGTTTAAGAAACTGGATTTGCATTCTAATTGTGTCATGAAAGAGCTGTGTATTTTTAGATAAGCCATAGAGTGTGACATAGGCTTCCCAGGTGACCCTAGTGGTAAAGAACCCACCTGCCAATGGAGGAGATGCATTGATTTTTAATACTTAAAGAATCTGCCTGCAATGCCAGAGACCCAGGTTCGATCCCCTGGTCAAGGAGATCCCCTGGAGGATGGCATGGCAACCCACTCCAGTATTCTTGCCTGGAGAATTCCATGGACAGAGGAGCCTGGTGGGCTACAGCCCATAGGATCACAAGAAATGACTGAAGCGACTTAGCACACACACATAGCATGTCATCCATAAAGTAGAAGGTTGAAAGAGTTTTCCTACACAGGATTCTTAACCCTATCAGAACAGAATTGCGTTATTTTGAGTATTTCTAACAACTTAATAAGCACTATGCATCGTTTACACAGTCACACAAGCTAATGCAAATGCCATTACTTTGGTTTTGTTTGGACTGATATGAACCCAGTTTACTCAGAAGCTTTGGTTGGCTATTAAATGTATTTCATAAATTAAAAAGGAGAAGGTCAACATTTATTTCATAATGAACATATATGTAGTAGAAGAAGTTTTCTAAAATTTCACATCAGATACTGGAGACTAAAACTTGTCTTGCTTGAAGAGTTGGGAATCGCAACACAAATGGTTCCTTCTCATTTATTTCAAAGTCTTATGTAGGTAATGGGGCTTCCCTGGTGGCTCAGACGGTAAAGAATCCGCCTGCAATGCAGGAGACCCAGGTTCCATCTCTGGGTCGGGAAGATCCCCTGGAGAAGGACATGGCAACCTACTCCAGTATTCTTGCCTTGGAGAATTCCATGGACTTTGGAGCCTGGTGAGCTATAGTCAATGTGGTCACAGAATCAGACATACCTGAGCAACTAACACACACACGTATAGGTAATATCAGAATTATTTCTTACCGTGTTGACCTTATAGTTACTCAAGTAAACCTGAAAAGTGTAGAAAGTTATGATCTTTGATGCAGAGATTAAATTCTGTATGCCCACATTTGGTAGCCAACAAGCTGCAAATACTGGGTTCCTTCAGAATTTGGAATGAAAAATACAAACAGAAAAGTCCTCATGAACACGTGGAAATTATGCAGAAAATTATTTATATTTTATTCATTCATCTGCTCATTATACTTTTTTCCCCACCGATCTGAAACTTCTCTGAAGAAAAGGTTTGCTATATTTATTCAAAGTAAAGGATAAAGGTGTATTTTCAGTTAATGTCAAGAGTTTTAGTAAGAGATAAAACACTGGCTTAAGCCAAGAGTAAAGTTCTTATTGTGGAATTTGAAGCACTAAGAGTCTTCAGGGACAGATTTAATTTTTTTATTAGAGTCTCTGAGATTACCATTCTGTGTACTGCTCATTCATATTATTAACTCTGTGTATGTGTGTGAGAGAGAGAGAAAGAAAAGAGAGGAAAAAAGGGGTGGGGTGTATCAGAGAGACAAAGAGAATGTCTTTAAATTTAATTTTTAAATCTTTACGTTTTGAGCTAAAATTAATGTGAAATCTCATGCTGCCAAATAGTGTCAGGTATTTAAGAAAAACATTAAAAAAAATAAAGATCTGAGTGAATTAATTCCTCAAGAGTAGTATTTGTCTGTAACTGCTTACTACCTTGAACAGACTTTTGCATTAGGGTTTTTAATTAAGCTACATACATAATTGTAACTTAGCAGCAAGTATTTTGCATACTGAGCATAGGAATGTAATTTACAGCTGTCCTAAGCCTTTGTGCTCTGTTTTCTGATCTCTGCTTGCAGGGTGGCATTCCACCACAGCCACGAGCCGCGCATACATGTGCAGTTCTTGGAAATAAAGGCTATGTCTTTGGCGGACGTGTTTTGGTTAGTGTTTTTTATGGAAATGGTCTTTTTTTGTTTGATATTTACTATAAAAATTTATCCTTTGTTTCTGTGGAATAGCTGAACATTCAGATAGTCTGGAAATTAAAATACCATTCAATAATAACTTTAAAAAATCTCCTATTACCTGAACAGACCATATCTGAGTAATCACAAATGATTATAAATCATATTTTAATGGGGAGAATCCTTCACTTCAGTGATTTATCAGAAAAAACTTTACTTCTTATTATCTAAATCTTGTTTATACTCATTTTTCCTTTCTCCCTTGACACATTAATTTGGTAGCTCTATGCTAATTTCATTAATGCTTAGCATTGTTTCCCAATATGTAAACTTCTGATATTAAGTAAAATAGAGTTGATCTATTTTTAATATGACTTTATTTTAAAGCCAAAATTTAAGTCCATGAAATATGTAAAACACTGACTGGCCAATTTCATACATTTTTATTTTAGCAAACTAGGATGAATGATTTGCACTATCTAAACTTAGATACCTGGACCTGGTCTGGAAGGTGAGTTCGAAATTCTAAGTATTGTTTTAACCTATAGCTATTTCTGTGTTTGTGTATGTCTGCACATGCATGCTGTAATCCAAATTTGGGTCTGTAAAACTGAACAGATGTTTTCTTCCCCTTCAGATTGTTTGCCTAAGCAAGGAATATATAGATATAAGTATAGAGTTTGTTCTTTAATCAGGCTACCTAAAACATGAGAACACTAACAGTTCAAAATTGATTATGTGAAAGTACTGGGTTTTTTTGAAATTACTGGTTTTATATTACAGATTCTTAAGGGTCTTTAAGAAATAATGCAGTTTTAATGGAGTCAGATAACAAACAGATAATCAAGTGAGTCAAAATCAGATTTTATTGCTCCTAATATATATTTAGAAATAGAATAATATATTTAGCTATCAATTCAGCTGTTCACATAATGAGATAGAATCAGAGCCATACATTATGCCAAAGTACAAATACTATTAAAAAATGAAACCGCAGAAGTACTAGAAGGAAATATCACAATTTATCTTTAAAATCTGGGTGTGGAAAAAACTTTTCTAAAGATGATATAAACCCAAAATTCATAAATGAAAAGACTGATAAGACCACTTAAGAATTAAATATTTCCGTGTAGAAATTAAATATTTCTGTGTAGAAATATATACCATAAAAAGTTAAGAGGCAAGTTGGAAAATGCAGGCAAAAAGCAAACTAGAAGTAATATTTACAGTAATTCTAACAGAAAGGGCTATGATTCACAAGAACTCAGAAAATCAGTAAGAAAAAGACAATATAGTAAAAGTGAACAAGGAACATGAATGAGCAACTCATAGAAGAAATATGGATATTTATAAATTATTATTTTTAATGTTTAATTTCATAAATTATTAAAGAAATTGAAATAAAAATAATAATTTTCACTTACCAGGAAGAATAATTACAAATGACCAGTGTATCGTAGGTTGTAACAACACAATTAGTGGGTGTTTAAATTGGTACAGTTTTCTGGAAGGTGGTCTGGCAATGTGTTTAAAATATGGAATTTCTACTTTGATCCAAAATTCCTCCCAAGACAAAAATTGGACAAGTGTTTATATGTGTGCACATATGTGTATATGTGTGTGCATACACAACAAAGATGTTTATGGCAACATTATTTATTTATTTTTTGGCAACATTATTTATAAAAGCAAAAACATGACATCAACCCTCATGTCCATAGGTGGGGACTGTTAAATCATGATACATTTGCCCAGTGAACTGCCATGCTTCCATTACCAAAAGAAACTATGCTTCATGGAAATATTCTGCAGCATATTAATTGAATGAAAAAAATTTACAGAACAGAATATGTGATCCTATTTGTATATTTTAAATAAATATGTTTGAATGTGCATAAAAGTCAGGAAAGATATATACCAAATTATGATTTCTTATTGCTGGAGAACAGGATTACAGAACTCTCCTTTTAAATAATTTTGTGGTTGAACATTTTGTAATCCAAATATTTTTTAATAGTTACAAAAACAGTAAAAATATTCCCATTTTGGAAAAAACAAATTACATCTTCTACACAGGCCCATGTTATTCTCACCTCCTAAATTAGTTAAACTTTTTCACTTATGGTCTTTTTGTGTGTATTTTTTTTTTTGGCCTCAATGCATGGCATATGAGATCTTAGTTCCCTGACCAAGATTTGAACCTGTGTCCCATGCACCAGGAAGTCCTTGTGGTTATGTTTTTATTTTAAGAATATGACAATATTTGTTTGAAATCTTTAGAGGTTTATCCTGGATCTGGAATAGCTTGCATACTTTTATTTTGCAGTTAAAGTAGCTAGTGTTTTCAGGAAATTCCATAATAAAAAGACCAAAGTAAAAAACAACAACAAAATCCCACAGTCAGCTGAAAATACAAAATTAAACGTGAAACAACAGTCAAAAATGATAGACATGAAAATAATTACATTGAAAACCTGAAGAAGTTTTTACTGATTTACCAACAGGGAAGCCGAATCTGGCCTCTGTACACTGACACCGAATTAAATCTCAAAGATAGAGTTTTGGGTGAAGTAAAAAAGAATAGCTCTATCGCTGTTTCAGGCAAAGGGGGCTACAGTGGGCTAATGCCCTCAAAACTGTGTGTCCCCATCCGAGGGAGCTTGTGAGGAGTCTTACAGTCCAGGAACAGTCCAGTTCCTGATAAGGATCAGGGTTTGTGCAGGGTCCACATTCCTTCAGTCCAGAGATCGTCTGACGTCAGATGATGACGGGCAAACTGTGACCTTCCCTGCCGTGATGAATGTTTCATCGACTAGTTAACATCTTCCATTTGGTGAGGGTTTCAGTGCTACTGAAGAGTTCAAAGATATTATATATATCCCTTGAGGTGGAACCAGGACCCCGCCTCAAGAATGCACTTTTGTTTCTTCACTGCTCCTCCCTTGTTTCTACACCCCCTCCTTTCCCTGATCAGCAACTGTTTGAACCTGCCCTTTGGAACTCAGAGAAGGGGCCACAGAAAGGCTTTTGTGCCTAGGAGCTCCACAGGATCCAGCATTTCCGTAGGAATGATGCTCAGTATGCATTGTGAATAACTCGGAATTGACTTTTTAAATTTTCAGTCTGTGTTCTGTGGCCAAGAGGGATAGACGTTACAAGGAAAGATATTGCATACATTTGTCTAAGAATTTAAGAATGTTTTAAAAATATTATTGTAGGTATATTGTAGGTAGTTTTTTAAACTGGGAAGGGCAGTTTTTTCTTTCGAGATCTGAGATGATCAAAACCTTTTATTTTGACTAACACAGTCAAAATTTTTTTGACTAGACTTTTCTATTTTTTCCCTCACCACAGGATTCCTATTAATGGAGAAAGCCCTAAACATCGGTCATGGCATACTTTAACACCAATAGCTGATGATACTCTTTTCCTGTTTGGTGGACTAAGTGCAGACAATATTCCATTAAGTAAGCTGAAGTTTAGCCTACAATTAATATCTTATTCTTTTTACCTAATTGTATTTGATACTATGGTATCTTTCTTTTTCTGATTTTATAGTTTACCTTTATCCCCAACTATGCTGTCACATCAAGAATTTAGAAGTCCCCTTTGCTTTTGTACCCTTACCTCTCTTTAAGCTCTCCTGTTTCCTTGGTGTAGGGAAAGGAAATAGTTGAACCTAGGGGAATTAAAGCCCCTTTCAACTATAGTATTCTGTGATTTTGTGTCCTCCTAATTTTGACCCAGATGCTTACACTGTAGTCTAGAAGAGGGATTAGAAGAGCCTTTCCCAGAAGGCTCTGAAAAGACAAGGTAGGAATGCCAGTTGCTTCTCTTTTTGTTCCAGAAGTATAAAGAAAGTGCTTAGCTAGAGTTTTTTTAACTGCTGACACTGCTGATTCCAACGGCTGTGAGTTTGTATCCCAGTTTTTCTTCAGCAGTAAAAATTGTGGCATCAAGATAGACAAATGACCAAGAATATTCACTTAGTTTGACATATTAAGTGTTTTGTAATTTAACTCAGAGTTTTCTATAGCTAGAGACATTTTCCTTAAGATACTTTATATACCATTAAGACCATTTGTATAATTTTATATAGGCTGTAAAAACAATTACTTGTTTTCCAACAAAAATTTTTATTGTGCATCAACTCTGTACCTGGCAGTCTGCTGCCCAAGAAACTCCAGATGCTGGTTGGAGGAACAGCCAGTTTTTATAGATTTTTATACTTGTCTAATTTGTGGGTTTTTTAATTAAAAGAGATTTGGAATCTAATTTAAAAACTAACATCTATACATCTTAAATAGATACAGTATTGTGTCAATTATATCTCAATAATAAAACTGGAAGAAAAAAATTAACATTTAATTACATTAGGGTTTACTTAATATATCTTCATGAGCGCTAGTGCTTCAGATCCCTATATGCTGGTTTTTGTCATTGAACTATGGAGAACTAAATGTCCTAACTCCTAGTCTAGTCAATTTCCTCCCTTAGAGATTCAGCTTAAGATATGGTCATGTGGGTATCAGATGATCCCAGAAAACCATTTGTAGTTTTCTTGGCTGTGACTGTAACATTGTGGTTAAATGATAATAGCTCTGTGGCTATTTACAAAATGTCCAGTTGTTGTTTTTTTTTAGTGATGCTCACTGAACTATGTATGGGGAAAGTGATAAGAGAGCTAGGATTTGCTTTAGAATAATTCAGCAGCAAGAATAACAAAAAGACATAAATGGAGCACATGTGGCAAAACCTTAATAGTTGTTGAATCTGGGTTATGTGAAAGTTCATTGTCGTGTTCACTTGACTTTTGTCCGTGTTTGAGAATTTTTATGGTAAAATAGGCACACACACAAAAGATAGTCATATAAATGTAGCATGATAAATTTGGGGGGAAAAAAATTAAAATTTTATCCCAAAGACCTGATCTTAATTTCTGGACTGTCATAATATTGCAGGTGATGGTTGGATTCATAATGTCATAACTAACTGTTGGAAACAGCTCACACATTTACCTAAAACAAAACCCAGGTAAGTCCAGAAGTTGGCAAATATTGAAATAGTTAAGAATTTTAAAGTATTAAGATATAGCAGTAAATTTATAGTGTTTTTCATTAAAACCAGGAACCATTTGGAAGGATATCTTTCAAATAAACTTGATATTACCCAAATCATACATAGTAGAAAGGATATATTCAGTTTCTATCCCTATTTGTATATTTGAAAGTATTACTGTTTTAGCTAACTGCATAATCTTGCCTGATAAATATCAAAAGGCTAAGAAATTGAAAGTATCATATGATGCTAATATTTTTAATAAGTAGATGAAAATGGAGTTGGCTTTATTAGTAGTTATTTGGGTTTTGAAGTGGTTTATAGCAATTTAATGAGGAAGTTGCTTTCATGTTTATCAAGTAGATGACAGATTATTATTTTGTTTATTAATTGATATACTCATTAATGTAAATTTCTTGAAAATGTATTAGTTATTTGTGGTATATTATAGAGTAAAAGATTGTAGAAAAATATACCATTATTAGACTGCAAAGAAAATCACATTCATATTGTAGTTCTTATTTTTTCTAATTTGATTGAATGTAATGAAGATATATTCATAGGAGATTCAAGTAGTTTTATTCATTTTCATGTCATGTATTTCAGAATTTTTTACCAAGATTATATTAATGTGAAGCTTATTAATGATATATTAATGCATAATTAATGATATATTAATCAATTAAGCTAATTAATGATATTGATACTATTAATTATTATTATTAATGATATATCAATGCATAACCTAACGTTATGTATTTCAGAAATTTAAGAAATAACAAGTAACATACTTGAGAAAAAGGCCTAAAAAATACATACATTGTGTATATCTATATTAATATGCACAATACATTTAGAGCTTATCATAACTTCATATGTGATTATTATATTCTTATGTATAAAAATTCAGTGGAATGTATTTGCAATTCTGGGTCTTTTGAAATATATTGTTTAATTTAAAGAGTTTTATGTTAAAATCCAGGAGCCCAGTGTTCTAGTCCTTGCTCAGCTAACACTTAGTTTTTTGGCTTGGGAAAGTCACTTTGAAGCTGAGCATCAATTTCTTCATCTGTGAAATGAGGGAGTTGGACTAGATGAGCTCTTAGTTCTCTCCCAGTTGTCTGTTTGAATGCATTACTTATAGACCAAAGTGGTAGTAAGAATGTTTAATTTTTAATTGCTCCTGTTTAATATTTCAATCCTTAATGAGTAATTAGAGCCATACAACTGTTATCAATAAAATACTAGTTAGAACTGAGCTATGTAAAGAGATTTCTTTGAACTCAACTGATGTGTCATATAAATCATATGCTTTATTAGAATGTTTAGGTGATAAGTTTAGAGCAGCTGTGAGAGGACATAAACTATCAGTCTATAGAAAAAACATCAGGTTGCAAGCTAGATGTCACCAAAATCAAGGCAGGAAAGGCTTTCCAGTATTCCTTGATGATGAAGTCCAGGCCAGAGTTTCCCTCAGGCAGATAAGACAAAGGCAGATCTATCTTCAGGTTACAAGGTGAGGAGAACAGGTGGGATACAGTTTACTGTAAGGAGAACATATATAAGTGTAAAAATACTACTTGTTTTTATGAAAGTAAGAGTGTATGTAACATCAAAATGTATTTTGTGCAAACTTTTCCAAGTTATAATTTGAAATGTAAGCTGCCCAATCCTCCTCTTGTAATTCTACAGAAAGGTTTCTCAACTTTGGTATTACTGACGTTTTGGACCAAATTATTGTTTGTTGTTAGGGGTGTCCTGTGCATTTTAGGATATTTAGAAGCATCTCTGGCCTTTACGTAATAGATGCCAGTGGTGTTGCGCCCACTCCCCCCTTGCCACACACACCTGGTATTATAACAATCAAATATCTCCAGATACTGTCAGATGTCCCCTTGGGGGCAAAATTGACCCTGTCCTACAGTGTAGCACTCTCTTCACTAGGCCTTACTTTAGATAAACTATGCTTGGGTGAATAGCCATCTATATAGTCAGATCAGATCAGCTATATAGATGGCTATCAGCAAGGTCCCTTTTTTGTTTCTGTGAAAGATGTCCAATAAAGTGTTGATATGTAGAGCCTTAGACACTGTTGAATCCCGTGAGTATTGCCAAGGTTACACATGGCTTTCTCTTGTCAAAATTAAGCTGTTCCTTCCTGTGAGGGCATTCATTATACTCTGTCTCCTTTGCTCAGTCCCTCCTCCAAACCCTGTCCCCAATCCTACAACATAATCTGCATGTTGCTGAAGATCTATACAATTTATATTCTTTTTTTTTTTTCCATTTATTTTTATTAGTTGGAGGCTAATTACTTTATATCATTACAGTAGTTTTTGTCATACATTGAAATGAATTAGCCATGGATTTACATGTGTTCCCCATCCCGGTCCCCCCTCCCACCTCCCTCTCCACCCGATCCCTCTGGGTCTTCCCAGTGCACCAGGCCCGAGCACTTGTCTCATGCACCCAACCTGGGCTGGTGATCTGTTTCACCCTAGATAATATACATGTTTCAATGCTGTATACAACTTATATTCTAACATACAAGTTGGAGAATTAATTGGGAAGAATATTTCCCAAACAAAATTTCTAATGACTCAGTTCTGTTCTGGGTCCCAAGTGCATTAGTCCTTGAATGTGTCATGATTGTTTGAGAAAACTATTTTAACAAATTGTGCACAATCCCACTGTTTGCACTTGTGGAAATTAAATAAAAAGAATTAATGTACTAAAAATAGTTATGTGGTAATAAAAGACATGGTAGTACGTAATTTGGGAGGCATCTGTTGCTTCAGAAATTTGGCCTATTAAGGAAAGCAATCAAGTACTCTCAGAAACAAAGCAATGACTGTAAAACTTCATTTATTTTCTAAAAGTGAGAAATTATGTGTACTATTTTCTGAGAGTTAGACCCCCAGAAACATTGAATTTTATAAAAACGTAACATTACTTTTGGTAAATAATGTGAAATTGTACATGAATATGAGCTATCAGACCATTTCCAAAACAACATCAGATGCTCTAGCTCTTTCTGAAATAATTTGTGTATTGAGTAAATTATGCTAATATTTTGTGTTTGTGTGTTGTTAGTCAGAAGTTTTTGAGTACCTACTGGATGCAGAAAACCTTATTAAGCATTTTTAAGGAGAACATAAAATTAGATTACCGAAATTCTAGTGGTGTGCTGGTAAATAGTTATCAACTGCTGTCCAAGAAAAACAAAACCGAAAAAAGTCCTACTTTGTAGCATTTGCTGATTTCCACTGTGGCCAACATATCATTGAACATGATGTGCCTGGAGTTAACAGGCACAACTGGCTTTACCCAAATCCAGCACACCACTGGGGCCATTTTTGACCTTAAAGACTTTATAGAGTTTTTGTTGGGAGTTAGAAAACAAATTACATCAAACAATTGAAGTAGTAGATAGATCAGTTTGTCTTCAAATGTAAGTTAAGATATTGTAAAATAAGCACATAAATGTTGAAAGGTGCTGAGCAGAGAGGGTAACAGAGCCAATTTGGGTGGTGTTTGGAATCCTTCCTGGGGATTTTGAGCCTGTTTTTAGGCCCTGAGAGAATGACTTCTCATTCTTAGCCTAAGAAACAGGGCGAACCAAAGCCTAGAAAGAGATGTAAGCTTTTCTCTTAGGGGACACGAATGAATGGACTTGGCTGAAGGTGGAGGGAGGGTTCATTTGAGAAAAGAAAGGAATTACAATTTATCAGAAAAAGAAATAGCTGTTGATCATAAATTTGAGGCTAAGAACAATGGCACAGATACTTCCTGATCAGGAAATATCCATGTTTAAAAACAACAAATATTTGAAATATATTATTTATCAGTTCTATGTAGCTGGAAGAGATTAGAGACAGAAAAATGAGGAACGTGTTATGGTATTCTGTACCCAAAGTGATTAATGTGACAATGTAAAGAGAATGAGGAGAATAGCACCATGGCAGAGAGCAATAAGAAAACTGTTTATGGAATAGGCTGGTCAGTTCTTTTTCAAATTGTTTTATTTTGTGATACTATCTATGAGATAAAGAGGTTAGAAAAAAGTTGAAGGATATAATATGAAAGAGTTATTGGGAGTCATCTCTTTCATTGAATAATGTGATTTAATAAACCCTAGAACCCAAGTCTCTAATGATTCTAGAGGAATTTAAAATCTAACCTCTTTGAGGATATGGCACAGGCTTACGTTCAATCATGCCTCTTTTGAAATAGATTCAGTTTTAGAGTGTTCAGTTTAAAATTGATTTATAAGTGATGTACAGCTTCTTCCTTGATAGTACTTCACTGTTTATAATTTTCAATCACAGGTTATGGCACACAGCCTGTTTGGGAAAAGAAAATGAAATAATGGTATTTGGTGGGAGCAAAGATGATTTACTTTCCTTGGATACAGTAAGAAATTTTCATATCTAAATATTTTCTCTGAGTAATTGTTTCATTGAAGCTAAATGGCTGTTCAAAAAGATTATTGATATTCCTACATTGAAAAATATGGAAGGGCACAAAATGTTACACCGTTGTATGATTAATCTCCAGAATGAGTGACTTTTGTGAAGCATTTCAGGATATTTGGAGTTGATAAATCAAAATAGGTCTATTAACTTAACATTAGTCAAGTTATTAAGAAGAGCTTTTAAAAGATGACTCTTCCTTTTCTCTTTGACCCTTCCCATAGTCTGGGTATTTATAATTTTATCAAATTAAAATATTTGTAAACATGAAAAGAATACATATAATGTATATGTAAACTACTAAGTATAAGTACTCTTGAAATTTGCTACCTAACTTAATAACTGGAACATTATTAATGCTAGCTTTTCCCTTCATGAGGAAACTACTTTGAAATGTTTAAAGTATATTTTATTTCTATTTTATGTTCCCTTTGCTACTGCTTTATCCACCCCTGTTTTACAATTGAGTTTAGTTAAAGCATTCTAATTTTAAAATCTGATAAAACTAAAGTCAAAGGGATAAATAAGTAGATTTTGTAGCTTGTGTGGCTCAGCTGGTAAAGAATCTGCCTGCAATGTGAGAGACTTGGGTTCGATCCCTGGGTTGGGAAGATCCCCTGGAGAAGGGAAAGGCTACCCACCAAGTATTCTGGCCTGGAGAATTCCATGGACTGTGTAGTCCATGGGGTCGGAAAGAGTCAGACATGACTTTCACTTTTCACTTTGGAAAGTATTTTTCTTTCCCTCCTAGCACCCTGGGAAATTCAGAGAGATGGGCACAGTCTGTACATGATGGACCAGGAGCTCAGGATTGCTTGCTCTGGTTTGCATCAGGCGCTGGGGAATGGCTGACACTGGGAGCTGGTGGGGATGGGCTACTCTTGAGCCAGAGCCCGCCCCCAAGAACCCCAGCGCCCTCTCACCTCTTCCTTCAGGCATTGTTTTTTCCAGACTTGCTCCTACAGAGTGGCAAGCTGAAATAAGGTGGCTTTTCTCCTGAGAATTTGATTTACTGTAAGGTTCTGGGGCCTCCAAATCAAATATTAGGTATAGTGAAAGTTTTAGAACTTTCTATGGCTAAGAACTCGGTGCTTTAAGAAAAGATTAAAACCACAACTTTACCTTTATTTAAAAAGCAAATTAAAAAAATTTAAAAAATAAAAAGCAAATTTTGTGGTTTGTCTTTGTTTTCTTGGCCCTAGAAATCTCTATTTAGGATACAGACTTTATCATTAACATATGAATTCCAATTAAAATCATGATCATAAATTGTGAAGTTGTAAAGACCTACTTGAAAGGATAAGAAAAAACGTTGACTCCTCCCCATTAACTTTTTGATGAGAGAGTCATTATCCAAAAAATCATCCAAATCTGTGATTTTCAAATTAGGAATTCCCAGGGAATCTATCACCTGGAAAAGGGAGACAGAATAGAGATTTTAAAATGAGTCATTTGGAAGAAAAAGTTCTGCTTAAAAGACAAAAACTTGAAGACCACTGCCATTCTCATTTTGAAACCACTGTTCTAAGAAAAAAAACATTTGCAGTTATATAAGCTGTGCTTAGTTAAAAGTTGGGTCACTGAATAAATGGTAACCATACACCCAAAGTTTGTATAGCTAGCAAGTGTGTATATATTTGTGTGTGTGTGACTAGAGATTTATTTGCTGCTTTACATAATTTCTTCTACATTTATAAAATAAAAATATTCAGTTATTAATGTTATTGTTATTTTTATTAAAAGTCTTGACCACTCCTTTTTTATGTTGATTAGGGTCATTGTAATGATTTATTGATCTTTCAAACACAGCCTTATTCATTGCTCAGGTAAGAAAATTCATTACTTTAAACTATGTATGTTATTAATATATGATAATTTCTTTCTTCTTCCTTTTTGGGAAGTGTTACAATATTTTTCAAGTAGTTTATCACTTGAATTTAAGTTTACAGCTGCCTAAGAGTATAATCCGGAGAAGGCAATGGCACCCCACTCCAGTACTCTTGCCTGGAAAATCCCATGGATGGAGGAGCCTGGTGGGCTGCAGTCCATGGGGTCGTGAAGAGTCAGACATGACTGAGCGACTTCACTTTCACTTTTCCTTTCATGCACTGGAGAAGGAAATGGCAACCCACTCCAGTGTTCTTGCCTGGAGAATCCCAGGGACAGCAGAGCCTGGTGGGCTGCCGTCTATGGGGTCGCACAGAGTCGGACACGACTGAAGCGACTTAGCAGCAGCAGCAAGAGCATAATCAAATTTGTAATGATGCATCATATGCCAGTATAATTTCTAAAAATTAAAATATACAGTATAGTCACATTTTTGTTTCTGAAATTGAATTTAGTTCATGTGGTAGTGTTAAACATAGTGTACTTCCTTGATTCTAGGCCTGACTTTTTCATATTTTAACTTTCTGAAATCAGAGTGTGTCTAACACTAGACACATACATGCACGTCTCATTTAGTATACAGAATTTCTCTTTTAACCCCAAAGTTGTTATTTAGTTAGTGGTGTGACTTTGTGGTTCAGCTCTGCCCAGGAAGAGTTTTGAGAGTAAGCGGGGGGCCAACAACTGAGCATTAAGAACTCATAACATTTGAGGCATAGGACAGGACGCGCAAGAGAGCGACCAGAGTTAAAGATGAAGCAGGAGATAAAGGGAGCACAAAAACCGAGGGGGGAAGTCACTGCAGATGGAGCGTCTGCTTCCCGTAAGGAGGTCACGGAACATCTGGGTCGGCAAGTGCCCTGGAGTTTGGCAGTACTAAGACGTCGTTGGTACCGTAGAGGGGGAAGCCAGGATGACTTCTGCGGGCGAGCACGACCAGAGCAGTGAGAGTATTTGTTTCTATGCTTACAGAAGCCTTCATCGAGGCAGTTATTGGAAACACAATAAACGAAGGGAAAGGGAATGGAGCAGGCTCTTGAGGAGGTTGATTTTAGCAAACAGGTAATAGAACTATCCCTTGACTGGAGGAAGAGTACTTTTAAAATAATGGGGAAAGAAGGAAATATAGTTATAAGATTAGGTGACTTTGTTGGTTGGGCAGGGCACTGAGGTGGTTTTGGCTGACAGCAAAGTTGTCTGAGGAGGAAGAGGAGAGGTGAGGCTGTGAATTTAAGAATGGTGAAGATGTGCCACAGCTGCTGAGGAGACTGTGAGCAGATGCTGATGAGGGATGCATTAATACAACATTGTCCTGCTGAGCACTTGGGAGGGCTCAGCTGAGATGGAACAGAATCTGTATGGCACATCCACAGAAACGTGGTTTTCTCCAGCAGCATGAAGCAGCCAGGTTTTACGTGCAGAAAGGAGATGGTTGGCTGAGTTTAGCCACGATGGTACAAACAGAGGGACAGTGGAGAAAGAAAGAGATTGTTGGCAAGAGAATGAAGAGTGAAGTGCATATGGACAGGAAACTGTGAAATGAATATGGACAGGCTGGTTAGGGAAGAAAGTTACAACCAGACTGGTGTCATTATTTGGAGATCTGGAAAGAGTCAAAGGAGGAAAGGGGTATAAGAGTTAAAAGAATATAAGGTTGTGGTCCAGGAGGAGGACAGAAGTTTATGATTTCAGAGGTGAACTGTCCAGAGTGAAGTCATGAGTAAAGAGGGATTTCCACACAGATGTTAAAATCAGTCTAGGGACAAGACTGTGATGAGCCCAGGGCCAAAGTCCTCAGCAATGGGGGGAAATGAGCGGGAGGTTAACAGATGGCAGCACCGGAGGGTGAAATGATTGCAGCCTGGAAGCGGGAGGGAGGAGCACGGAGAATGCACACTAGTATCCGCTCCTGACTGTAAAAATGGAGATGAGGGGAAATTTGTTCCCTTTTCTCAAGAAGGCTGCGCAGAAAGCAGTTTTCTTAGATTTCACTTTAAACAAGGACAGAAAGTCAGAGGGAGCAGGAGTGTTTGTGGACGCAACTGGTGTTCCAAAAGGCACCAAGGAAAGATTTGGAAGGGGAGATAAGTCAGGGATGGGGAAGATGAACCAGTATAGGACACTGGACGTGCCTGCCTTTGAGGTTAGGACTCAGCTTGGCTGAGTTAGGACTCAGTCCATTTCTGGAGGTGGGTGCAGGCTGCAGGGAGGGTTGGGTCACAGGGAATGAAATTGATGCAAAGTGTTGCATCTCAGGGTGATGGAGAAGAAGACAGTTATCAGAGAAGAGTAAATTATTGGGCTGGACGAATACGTAAAAAGGAGTCTGCTTCAGACTAACTTGCTTCAAAATTAAGTCTGAATCTTTTTTACTTAAAGAACAGTATACACGGTAAGTTGAACTGGATTTTTGTCAGACACGGCACTATGCTATAAAAATACACAATTAATGTGGTGCTCTGGAAAGAACATATATCCTTTCACGTTCCAAACAATACAAAGGGAGTACATAATCCTGTGAGATTTTTATAATTTTATTTTTATAATACTTGCCTATCAATATTTTATAAATTCAGGTTCAAAAAGTAATAATTCTGTTATGTTTGGCTTACAGGTCATGCCTTGACTGCATTGGTAAAAATGCTATAATTTTAGAAAGTCAGATATCTTTATTACCTCCTAAACTTCTCCAACAAGTACTCAAAAAAATAACATTTTGGACTGCAGCTAATCACCGGGAAGAACAAAGAGCCCAAAAAGAAGAAACAGAAAATAAATATCAGTGGATCAGTAGCAATTAAGTTGTTATATATGCTATATGTTTAATATGTTTAAACATTTTAATCAGACTGTATATTTACCCCCCAAATTGGAGGCTTTATTTAGAAGATAAAATCTGAAACAGAAATTCTATGTTAAAGTGATTGTATGGCATGAGATATATGGAAAGAAGATGTTAATGGCAGATTAATTTATATTTATATTTGTAAATTAATTTAATTGTAAGTTGCAGAAAAAAAATCTACTTTCTGAAAGTAAGTACAATTGTCAGAGAGTTTAACTCACTGTGTCCTCTTTACAGGAAAGATTATACAAATTTGAGAAGAATTAAGAAATTACACCCAAGGATTTAGGGATTCTCCAATATAAAGACAAATAGATATATAAAAACACTTCATGTCAGCTTTCAGAAAGAACAGATTTTTCTCAAGTCACTTTAAAGTCACCTAAAGTTTCCCATTAATTAATTCAGTTATTTAAAGAACTTCTCCTTACATAACTAATGTAGCTGGCCAAAACGAGAAAATAGGCAGGCAGTGGTATGGGATTAAATATTGAACTCCTTTTAGCATTTATCTAGTAAAGTATTCTTGGTCATCTTTATTTGAGTAGGGAAATGAATGTCTTCATTGTCTTTCTGTTACCTCTAAGTTGTTAGATTGTCCCATTTTCTCTGTATATATAAAGACAATGTTTGAAAGTGTTACAGTGGAGATTTATCATACAGGGTTTGAAATACTGAGAGGCAGCATAGTTATTAACTTTTGAGACACCTTAAAATACATTTTGTCTTGGGGGCGTACTTCTAAAGAGTAACCTTCAGTGAATTATGAAATGGGATGATAACCTAGTAATTTATCTTTCTAGAAACTCATTTTGGTCCACACCATTCTACAGAGTTGGTGCTCAAGACCCAGGTTATTCAAAATATGTTATCTTACCATTTGTTTTCAGTATTAACTCCTTATAAAGAAATGGAACATGAATATTTATCTTTGTAGTCCTTAAATAGTACTTTTTCCATAATTAAGAAGTTCTTCATATATCACAGTCATATCCATCCATTAAATTACTAATAACAAGGAATTGCTGAAAACTCGGTATATAAAATTTCTCTCTACCATACTACCATGCAAGTTGGCTCTGCAATTTAAAATGTTAGAGTAAATGTATTTCTATATTGAAGTATACATGTAATTTATAATGAAAATTACAGTAGTTTGTAGATCTTCTTAAATTTTAGAGATATATTTTATATATATATATGTACTGTATTTTGGATGTGTAAAACTTCTATTTATGTATTGAAATATTTTGTGTTTGCATTTTATTTATTATACAAACTATATAGAATTACTATTTTCCTAGTTTTGTTAGTGTGAACCAGTCATTAGAATTGTGCAAATGATACTTCAGCATAAGTTTTCATTTCTGCTTACTATTTTTAGGCTGAATAACAGATTTAGAAAGTGAGTCTCACAGGTAATACAGGTCTTAGAAGTAATTATTTTATTACTGTGAACTTTAGTATCAGCAGTCTATAAGGAAAAACTATCTAAATATATTAGATAGTGATAGATGACACAGAGTGGGATGACCTCTTTTTAAATGGCTTCTGAATTATTTCAGTACCTTCTCTAGCCTCTTAGAAAAGTACTTCTGTTTATAAACAGTTTACCTAAACATTAAAAGTTAGATTAGCCCCTCAAAACACACACACTTGACTAAGGCTTTAAGAGAATGAAAATCTATGTATTATCTTTGGCATACAAATCTGGTGCCCTTCTTACTTGACTGATTATGCTGTACTACTTAAAAAAGTTATGTTCTGAACTAGCCCCATTGTAGGAGTGGCAGGGAATTCTAATCTGATCTTCAGTTTCTAAAACTTGCCTTAAAGCAGGGTTTCCCTGCTACTAAGAGATGTAAAGATTCTGGGAGCTGGCAAAACCAGTTTTGAAAATCCCTAGTCAAGCAGTATTCATTCCTCATTTCTTACCTCTTTATGGTTTACTGTCAACTCTTTTGTTGTTGACCTGTGCTGTGTATAGGAGCCCAAGGCAACATCAGCCTCATAACTTTTTTTTTTTTTTCTTCAGCCTCATAACTTTAAACCCTCCCTTATGGGTTCTCTGTTTGAAAGATGGGTCTAGAGGGTTGACTTTTTTCTTTTTCCAGGTTGTTCACAAAATAGGTTTCCAGTCTGATTCTCAAGAAAAAAGAATTTCTGGCCATCTTTATTATGTGTATCAGAATATTCTTCCAGTTGTCAGGAAGGATTCTTTTGAGGTATTATCATTTTTAGAATTATACAGTAAATGGCATATCAAAATTAGTAGTATCTTTTCCAAGTAGTATCTTTGCAAAAACACCTTTAAAAATTATTAGCCTCTTGAAAGAAGCTTAAAAATATTCTTTAGAACTTCATGCTGCCAACCCAGAAACAAAGTGATGTTTTCACAAATATATTATTCATATATATGTATGTGTGAGAGAGAAATAATATAAACTCACTAAAGTAGAATAATTTTCATGGTAGTACATATTGTTTGAAAAAGTAAAATTTTGATTTCAGAACACTTCAAAGGAAAATAAGCAGTTTGAAGAATCCCCATTTTTTGGTGCCCATTTCCCCGCTGTATTAGTATTGTGATTCTGTTGGAATTCCCAGCCTGATGGAGTCACCATTTGGTCCAGCACATGGGTACAGCGAGAACATTTTCTAAATCACCCACGTAATGGACTGAATGTTTGTATCCCCACAAAATTCATAGACTGAAACCCCAGTCCCCGGTGTGATGATTTTTGGAGGTGGGGTATTTGGGAGGTAATTAGGTTAAGATGAGGTCATGAGGGTGGGGACCGGGGATGGATTAGTGGAAGAGACCAGAGCTCTCCTTCTATGTCCCTTCCCTATGAGAAGGCAGCCCACTGCCAGGCAGGAAGAGGGCCCTCAGTAAGTACCAAGTCTGTCTGTCTGTACCTTGATCTCAGACTTCCTAGCTTCTAGAACTGTGAGAAATAAATGTTGTTTAAAGCCATCCAGTCTGTGGTATTTTGTTATAGTTGCCTGAGCTAAGACAAACCTGAAGTCCACAGTTTATGTTAGGGTTCATTCTTGGTGGTGTATATTTTATAGGCTTAGACAAATGTGTAATAACATTTATCTACCTTTATAGTAACATAGAAACTAAGCATTGCTCTAAAAATCCTCTGTGTTCTGCCCATTTATTCCTCCCTCCCCACTAAGCCCTGGCAACCATAGATATCTTACTGTTTTCATATTTTTGCCTTTTTCATGTTATACAGTTAGAATTATACAGTGTGTACGTTTTTTAGATTGGCTTATTTCATTAGTAATATGCATTTGGGCTCCCCTGGTAGCTCAGATGGTAAAGAAATCTGCCTGCAATGTGGGAGATACGCGTTCAATCTCTGAGTCGGGAAGGTCCCCTGGAAAAGGAAATGGCAACCTACTCCAGTATTCTTGCCTGGAAAATCCCATGGACAGAGGAACCTGGCGGCCTACGGTTCATGGGGTTGCAGAGTCGGACAAGACTGAGCAACTAACACACAATATGCATTTAAGTTTCCTCCATGTCTTCTCATGGCATGAAAAAAATGGCTCATTTTCCAGTACTGAATAATATTCCATTGTCTCAATGTTTTACAAGTGAGGAATCAAATTTAGATCACAATAATTCTTAATTTTCAGTCTAACGCTCTCCTAACTAAGCTATTCCGGCTAGCTTAGATCACAATAATTCTTAATTTTCTCTTGATCTAATTGAAAAGTGTCATATAAAATGTAAGCTAAAATAGCGTCTGTGTGAACAGGATTCACTTTCCTCCCTGAAGGCCTGGGAGGTGAAGATTTCTGAAACAGTTTTTTTGTTGCAGATTTTTTTTTTTTTCTAAAACACTTTTTAAGCACAATTTTCCAAACTGGGTGGAGGATGCAGCACTGAATTAAAATTTCTGCTGGACCAAAAGAGCTTATCGAGAAGAGACGTCATGATCCGTTCTGCAGGCAAATCGCGGTGGCACGCAGTCCCGGAGCTGCCTCGAGTGACACAGCGGCGCCTCCGCCCGGAAGCCGCCCAGCGATCGCGGCTGTGGCCACCTGGGACCACGCGTGAGGGTAGAGGTGCCACCCCCATCCAGTGTCCTGGGGAAGAGAGGGCACCGACTCTGGAGACCCTGAAACCTCAAACTTACTAGCTGAGCCATTTGCCACCCGCTTCTGGGCTGTGAATATCCTTCCGTCAAACAAGACCTTCTTGGGAAGAAAGACTCTTTTGCAAGCGTCTAGCTAATTCAGCATCTCCTCGTGATGAAGGGAGGCTCGGAGGTGCTTGGAAGTACCTTTAGCTTCTGGGCCCTGGCCCGGCAGGCGCAGGCGGCGGGAGGACTCGGAGCAGGGGACGCTCAGCGCCCGCCGCACTTCCGGATCCCGGCTAGCGGCGTCAGCGGAACGGGCGGCTCCCAGCGCGGCGTAAACAAGGGCCCTTCGAGGCGAGAAGCGAGCTGGAGGCGGGGCTGACGGGCTGGAGCTGGTGTCAGCCCGAGGCGGACCCTTGCCCGCCCTGCTCGCGTCCCAGCGCCCTGGCCGCCCCCAGCCCGCAACCCCTCCGCAGGCGGCGAGAGGCCGTCCTCGCAGAGACGGGCCGGGAGGACAGAAGCCCGGGCGGCGGGGCGCGGCCGTAACACCGAGCCTTTCGCCGCCGCCGCGCGTCTCTCTCTTTTCCTTTGTCTTTTTCTCCTCCGCGGGTGCGGGGATTCTGGTGAACCGAAGTGCAGCCTCAAGATGGCCGATGGCTACGAGGACCTGCGGGAAGACGAGCTCCCAGGGCCGGCCTACGAAGGCTACGAATCCGCGGAGCTCGCCTGCCCCGCCGAGCGCAGCGGCCACGTCGCCGTCAGCGACGGGCGCCACATGTTCGTCTGGGGCGGTTACAAGGTCAGTGGGCGGCCGGGTCGCGGCGGGCGTCGGCCGGCAGTTACTGGTCGGGGGCGGCGGGCCGGGCGGGAAGGGCGCCTCCAGCGCCCCCGCGCCGCGACTCCGCCGGTTGGTTCGTTCTCCTGCGAGTGTGGGAATCTTCCCACGGGTCTCCCCACCCGCCCCAGGGCTCCTGGACTGTTGTCACGGCCGCCTTCTGCTTACAAAGCCTGCTCCCCGCTCCCTGCCCGCGCTTACCCAGCGCGCTCTTAGATGTCCGAGCTTTACCTGTGGAGAGCGAGGCGGGCGGTGCGAGACCGCGAAACGTGTTTTTATTTAAAGGGTTGGGGTGTAAGAAGGGACGGTGTGTGAGGTCACTCTTTATTTGTTATCGGGCCTCCTAGGAGCACACTGCCTTACAGAGCCAGGGTCCGGTGCCCGCTGGTCCCGTGGCCCACTTACGAGGAGACTACCGCGTAGGGAATATGCGCCGGCATTCCCCAAGGCCGCAAGAATTGGCTTGTTGAACCTTCCCGCCGGTTCAGGAGTCCCAGCCACCCTGTGCACCTGCCATCCTAGTGTTACTCGAATGTTTCGGGGCTATTTTCCTTTTGGTTTCAGCTGAGAAAGGGTTGTGATAACACTCCACATTCTAGAATCGTCTTATTTCATTTGCTGGGGTGGTTTGGATCTGTTCTTACCAGAAATATTTTTAGTCCCTTTTTTTAAAAAATGATCTGCCCCCGCTCCAATTTGCTAGAAATCTAGTCCTGGACAGCAGTGCCTTCCATGACTTGGAAGCACTAGGTGATTCTGATAATAGATTTTAGCTTATGCTACAGTTGATGTGACCATTTTTTGAGATGACTCTGAAAAGATAGCTGGGGAAAAGCTGTCTTAATTACTTCCTTTGATTCCTTTCTCCTAATCCTACTTAATCTGAAATGTTTTCCCCAGCCTCCAATGAATAGGTGTTCAGAGGAGGGTATTTGGTAGGAGCAAGGTGGCTGGTACCGGGTGACTTTTATTAAAATGTAAATAATTGCCTTGGAGAAAAATAAAACTGTTAATCGTCTGTAGGAAGAGGGAAGGTGAGGGGAGAAGGGGAGAAGGGTTGTGCGGGTGGAAGATTCTGAAGGTGAGTTGTGGAGGGCCTGGATGCCCAGGGCTGAGGCGGGGTGGAGAAGCGTGACTAGTGAAGGAAGTTTGTAGTTCTCAAACAGGCTTCCCTCCACATTCTGGCTACAACCCTAAGAGTACCACACACCAGAGGCCCTTGGGAGATTGTTTTGATTTCAGTAAACCTTAGCTTCACACACAGAAGTCAGTTTTCCTCCTCCTGCCAGACTGACGTACTCTGGGTCAACCTGCTATCTTGCTCCCAGCGTTTTTGTTTCATAAGTGGTGGAGTGGGAAGAGAAATGTTTACATGCCCAGATGTTCTGTTCTGTGTTTTTTAAGCTTGTGACTCTTGACACCCATTCCTAGTGAACTGCAGCTGTTTACTGTATGTTAGCCTTGTCCAGAAGGTGGCCAGGGTGGTTGGTTCAAAGTCCGGAGGGGTCAGGCCGGGTGGCTGAAGTTGCAGATTCAGAGAAAGGAGGCTGGAATCGTGGCTCCACCATTCCTTGCTGAATAGCCTTGGGCAACTTCTCTGAGAAACCTATACCAGCTATTTCTTATGGTGGTTGTGAGGATTAAATATAGCACTCCATGGATAGCACTTCGCTGGTTCTGGTATATAGTAAGCTCGATCTGAAGGGAAATGGAACAGAACAAGGAACTTAAGATTTTGTACAAGGACTTGATATTTGCAGTTCTGCTGTCTCTGTTTCTTGGTAGAGAAAGAATGGGTAAAAGGGAAGAACGTCTGGCCTGTTAGTGTGGATCAGGTGCTTTCAAGGTTGAACTTTCTTTAGCCTGCCAACATGACACAGATAATCTCCCATGAGGTCATGTAACTCAGATTTGGTGCGTGGAGTGTTCAGGATAAAGTGGCCTTAGAGATTACCTGGAGATCTGTTAACTTCGTGCATCATTGCAACTGCTGTATCAAGAATGTGAATTGAGGCCTGTCTATATTAAGCATTATTTTGAGTATATGGCATGGGGTAGGGAGAACTGTACCTGTCATAGAATTGTTAAAACCTGTTTAACTTCTTGTAACTCTCAGTATCAAATGAGATAGATGTGAAAAAATATACAATAGTGCCTTTTTAAAATACAAGTTATTTTTTGTATTTGCAACTTTTTGTTGTTGTTTTAGAGTAATCAAGTCAGAGGATTATATGACTTCTATCTGCCTAGAGAAGAACTCTGGATCTACAACATGGAGACTGGAAGATGGTAACTGTGGATATTAAGAGGGGGACTAGAACATCCAAATAAGGTTGCAAACAAAAACATACTCTGTAAAACCCATACTACTGAATAAAAGCACTTTAATTAAAGATGCTAACCTAGCTGTATATTTTGAAAACAGTATTCAACTAGCTTAGCATAGCTTCTAAGCTTAAATACTTCTGTATTTCTTCAGTAGTTACTAGATGCTTTTATGACCTTTGAAGAAATTTCTATTCAGAACTGTGGCAAGTATTATAGCAATATTAAAGAGGTAGAGGCTTCAGACCCTGGAATGGAAATACAATAAAAGTTCCATATATATATTCAATATGTTATGTCTTCTGTTAATGTATTTTGAATGTGAGAAGAATTTCTAAACATTTGCTAGAAATAAAGGTAGTATTCTATTTTAATGAGCTCTAATATTAAAATTTCTATGCACATTTCTTTGAATTAGCATGTTTTGCCTTAAAAACAAAATTAAATTTGCCATCCATGCAAACTGGGGTTATTCTGAAAGGACTTTTTGCCAGTTTCATACCAGTAATTTTCGAGTACGTTCTTAGCAGAATTAATGAATTCTCAAAATGCTGGGTTGGCTGGGTTTGAGGATTTAGAAAGTAGTTTTCCCCATGGTTTGCTTTATGAAAACTTAGTCTGTTATATATTTTAGCACATTAGAGATCTCAGAAGTAGGAGAATACTAGTTCCACTTGATTTAAGAGTTCAACAGAAAATAAACCAGGATTATTTTTGCATATAGCCAGTGTTAATCTAGCTGTTTAATGATCTTTTTCTAGAGAACTGGGCATTTATAATTGTATTCCTTTAATGGGGAAGCTTTAATTAAAAAAGAAAATTCAACCCCATAAAGAATTTTTACAAAATCAGCCTATCAAAACTTAAAAATTGGGAATTCCCTAGTGGTCCAGTGGTTAAGACTCCGTGCTTCCACTGCAGGGGGCATGGGTTCAGTTCTAGGTCGAGGAACTAAGCTACGGCATGTGCCACAGCACAGCCAGAAACAGACAGACATAAAGCTTAACACAGATGAAGCGATATTAGGAGCAGAAACCCTTGAATGTCATATTAATATTCTGAATCTTAGAATTAACCTTTTGATTCAGATTCACTTTTAGACTTAGAATGAGTTAAAACAGGTAAAGAGCACTCAGAGGAATGGTTGGCCTATGGTAGACACTACCTGAGTGTCTGTAGTATTACATAAGGTTGGAATCAGACTAATTTGAATGGTTAAAGGTGACTGAATTAAAAAATACTTATTAATCTGTCAGGACTGAGATTTTGAGGTTTTCTTCCTTTGGGTTCTTGGCCCACTCAAAAAACCAAAACCATCATTTATAGTCAAGTAACTAGAAAAAGCAAACAATTTAGTTAGAGAAATGTTAAGATGGTTTGCTCCTAGAGTAATACATGACATGTAGGCTTTCAGAACCTCCCGTGCTGTCACGTTAGTGCCTGCTGGCACAGCCTGTGGAGGGGGTGGCAGGGACAAGTTAGTTCATTCTTCTAATTAATTTTAGAGCCAGAAGAGACCTCAGCATGGCTACTCACACCTTATTTTTTCCTTTTATTGTGGGGATAGAATTAGAAGAATGGATACATTGTTGCATTTCTTCTTCTTGGGGAAATTTATTTACATTCAGTTCTTTCCCTCTCAGGAAAAAAATTAACACTGAGGGTGATGTTCCTCCTTCTATGTCAGGAAGCTGTGCTGTGTGTGTGGACAGGGTGCTGTACTTGTTTGGAGGACACCATTCAAGAGGCAATACAAATAAGGTTAGTGTGTATAAGGATGGTTTAAGGCAATTTTGTTCTTTTTCAGACCACTTTAGATTTCTAAGGTTAACCCAGTTTATTCCTGTTCAAGTTCAAAAACATGTGTACTTGTGATATGTTCTTTGCAGCTACTTATTCTCTTATTAATAAAATGCTGTAGTATTAGATGAATATTAGTAAACTAAAAACAAGATGCAGTTTGGGGGGCGAGGTGGGGTATTGATGGCTCAGATGGTAAAGAATCTGCCTGCAATGCAGGAGACTTGGATTCCATCCCTGGGTTGGGAAGATCCCCTGGAGAAAGGAATGGCTATTCACTACAGTATTCTTGCCTGGAGAATCCCATGGACAGGAGCCTGGAGGGCTACAGTCCATGGAATTATAGTGAGTTGCACACACCTGAGCAACTAACACACACAGTAAACTTTAACTGGCCACAACTCAAAAAGTTGTAAGGAGAAATTAACACTGAAAAAATTTCATATACTAACATTCCTATAACATGGCACCATAAGATACTGTTTTCAGACTTTTGTCTATGTTTTGCCCAAATAGGAAAAAGGCATGTTTTTCTCAGGCCCATACAAGGCAGATGCAGTCAGAAAGATGCATGTAATATATGTTCAGTTAGTTCAGTTGCTCAGTCATGTCCAACTCTTTGAGACCCCGTGGACTGCAGCATGCCAGCCCTCCCTGTCCATCACCAACTCCCAGAGTTTCCTCAAACTCATGTCCATTGAGTTGGTGATGGCATCCAACCACCTCATCCTCTGTCATCCTCTTCTCTTCCCGCCTTCAGTCATTTTTCCCAGCATGAGGGTCTTTTCCAATGAGCCCGTTCTTCACATCAGGTGGCCAAAGGATTGGAGTTTCAGCTTCAGCATTGGTCCTTCCAATGAATATTCAGGACTGATTTCCTTTAGGATGGACTGGTTGGAACTCCTTGCAGTCCAAGGGACTCTCAAGAGTCTTCTCCAACACCACAGTTCAAAAGCATCAATTCTTTGGAACTCAGCTTTCTGTATAGTCCAACTCTCACATCCATACATGACTACTGGAAAAACCATACTACTAGCTTTGACTAGATGGACTTTTGTTGGCAAAGTAATGTCTCTGCTTTTTCATATGCTGTCTAGGTTGGTCATAACTTTTCTTCCAAGAAGCATGCGTCTTTTAATTTCATGGTTGCAGTCACCATCTGCAGTGATTTTTGGAGCCCAAAAGATAAAGTCTGTCATTGTTTCCACTGTTTCTCCATCTATTTGCCATGAAGTGATGGGACCAGATACCATGATCTTAGTTTTCTGAATGCTGAGCTTTAAGCCAACGTTTTCA